CTAAATTAATATGAAAAACAACAGCCTTAACTTATACAAATAATAACCAGTTAGAAGAGCTCATGAAAGAGAAAAATCTCATTGATAATTGTAATAAAAAAGATAAAAATACTTAGAAATAAATTTAACAATAAATGTTCAAAACCTATGTGAAGGAAACTAGAAAATATTCCTGACACAAAACTTGATTTGAACAAATTAAAAGATATCCTTTCTCAGTTATGATGTGTCAACATTACCTATATACCAGTTCTCCTTTAAGTTAATTTATGAATATAGTGCAATCCCAGTTTTTAAAATACCCAAAAGTTTTTTTTAGAGCTAGGTAAGTTGATACTAAAGTTTACATGAAAAAACAGAGACTTAAGAATATCTAGGATATTACTAAAAAGAGCTATTTGAGAGAGGGTGGATAAGCATAGCAAGGTACAATTTAAATAGTGTAGTACTGGTATGTGAATAGACAGAAAGACCAATTGAATAAAACAGAAAACCTAGGCTCATGTGTACATTTAATATACTATAAAAGTGATATTGCAAACCACTGGAGCAAAGATGGACTGTTTAATAAATCATGTTGGAGAAAAAAATGGAAATTAATTTCTTATACCATATATACATATAAACTCCAAATTGATCAGAGATCTAGCAGAAAGTTTGAATGAATTCCTCTTAACCCTGTGTTATGCTTTGTGGCTATGACTTAAAGTCCAGGTGCAATAAAGGAATGATGAGTTTTACCCCCAAAAAAATAAAAATAAGAAACTTTTACATGAAAAAAAAACCCCAAGCACAGTAAAAAAAAAAAAGACATAAATTAGGAGAAAATATTGCAAGAAATATGCCAGATATAGGGCTAATATCCCTAATATATAAAGACATTTTTTAATTGAGTAAAAAAAAAAGACTTAAAAATTCCAATAGAACATGAGCCAAAGACAGACAATCCACAAAAAAGATACAGAAACTGTCCCCACTCAAATTAAGAGAAGTATACATTAAAACTACACTGACATACCATTTCTCATTCATTACATTGGCAGCAGTTCAGGTAAACTGACACTATCATATATTGCTGGTGGGAATGCAAAACGATACAACCTCTGTGGAACACAATTTGACAATATGTAGTACATATGGATTTACCCTTTGACCTAGCAATCCTATCTTTACTCTAAAGATAGACCTCCTAAAATATAAAAACATAAGGTTATTTATTGTAGCATTATTTATGATTGCACAATATTGGTTGCTACCTAAACATCTAAGCATCAGATTTTAAGTGAATAAACTCTGGTACATGCACACCACGGAGTACTATTCAGCTGTAAAAAAAGAATGAAGAAGATCTCAATAAGCTGATGCAAAGTGATCTCCAGAAGATACTGTTAACTGAAAAAACCAAAATGCAAAACAGCATATGTGGTATGTTGACTTTGGAGGAAGAAAAGAGAAGTAAGAAAACATATGTATCTACTTATTTTTGCAAAAAGAAACATAGGAAGGATACATCAGAAACAATAAAATTGTATACATAAAAAAAGGTGGCAGGAAAAAGTGTTCAAGAGATAGGAAAGAGGGACTTCCCTGGTGGTGCAGTGTTTGAGAATCCACCTTCTAATGCAGGGGACATGGGTTTGATCCCTGGTCTGGGAAGATCCCACATGCCGCAGAGCAACTAAGCCTGTGGGCCACAGCTACTGGGCCTGCGCTCTAGAGCCTGCGTGCCACGACTACTGAGCCCGTGCTCCGCAATGAACAGTAGCCCCCGCTTGCCGCAACTAGAGAAAGCCTGTGCCACAACTAGAGAAAGCCTGCGCTGCAACGAAGACCTACTGCAGCCAAACATAAATAAATAAAAAATAAATCAATTTAAAAAAAAGAGAGATAGGGAAGAGAGTGATATTCCTCTGAATATATCTTTTTGTATGGTTCATACTTTGGCAAGCATATTATTCTACATATTCCAAAAGTAAAATGAAATGATCAATAATGGAAGGAAAAATAAACTAAAATTGGAAATAGAAACAAATGAACTCAAGTGTATTTCAAATGACTAACTTAAAACCACTGAAGAGGGAGAGGGTAGGGCGAGAGAAGTAATCCAAGTCATTTTTGCACCTAGTACTTTGATTTTCAACCCTCAGTCTGGGGAAGAAAAATTACCTTTTTAGTAGACTTGCTTATGTAATTATGTGAATGTATAAATTCTGAAACTGTTTTATGGGTAAGTATGTGAACGTAGCAATTCTGAAACTATTTTATGCAGGATTAGGCAAATAAGTAAATGTGCTGTGAGGAAACAAGGTTCTCACTGTTGAAGAAGGCAGACACAAATATGAAATGGGGAAGGCAACAAAGAACACTGTGGAATTCGATTGGAATTGTAAGTATCAACATTCATGATTTCTTAAATGAAAAAAAAAAATCTATTCCCCTCTCCCTCACCTCTGTCTACTGAGATGACCTGAAAGCAATAATACCCCAGTATCAATAAGCACTCTTAGTGCCAAGGTCTTAGCTTCTAAATACCATTCTCCAAGAAAAAAACAAAAGATACCAAGACTTTTAGAGAAATTGTTGATTCTCGGGTAGGAGTGATGAATGTACAGGACAAGCCTGGAAAATCTTGTTGTGCCACAAGATAAGGAAGTGCTCAATGTGTAGGTCAAAAGGAGCCAACCTGAAGCTGGCCAAATCTCAGATAATTTGAGCATCAAAATAAATAAGGGTGGGAGAGAAGAGGCAAATCTCCCATGCAGAAGAATTCCAAACAAATTATGTAAATACCCTAATGAAGGGAGAGCACTACAGAAATGTGTGCTGGGCACAGTGACTTCCTTCCATGGAGTACAGAATGGAAGGGGGGCGGGGGGGGGGGGAAGAGTAACTTTACAGGGGAAAAACCTGATAAAAACGACTTTAATGATA